TTTATAATTGTTTTTTAATATCTGAAGGTAATAGTTACTCATTACTTTTCTTATTCAGTCTTGAAACAGAACATGTAAAGTGTGCGATAGGTAAATTGTCGCTATTTTACATTTTTAATTGCGCGCATGCGCATTATTTGTTTTTGATTTTGTCGACAACACAGTATAGTAGGGTCAGTTGGGCACCGTCTGTGAGATAAACAACACCATGATACAATGGACTCCACCTGAAATTTGGAAACGGCATGCTGTATTGGTTGGTATTCGCACCGAAAGCTCTAATACAAACATTTCAGAGGGCTTGGGTATCAAGCTGAGGAGAGTGCAGAGGATTCGGAAAGAGTTGGATGAGTCTAATGGTGATTACGGAGGTACGGTAGTTCGGAAAACTCACTCGTATCGTTCTGATAAGAAAATAATTTTTGGTGAGGACCTCAGACTCAACACAGAGGCCTACATCAAGTGTCTTGAGGATGTAATCATGGGTCAAGAAAGTGGCTGCTGGAAGACCCTGTATCTGGGAACAGGTCTCTGCACCATGCCACACAAGCAGGAGAACCCAGTCATGACTGTCAGACAATTTTTGCGACCACATCATCCCTTACATCTGGCCACCTAACTCCCCAGACTGCACCCCCTTGATTATCATGTGCGGGGCGCAGTTGAGCGAGAGACCAACAAAACTCCTTTAACACCAAAGATGAACTGAAGGCAAGGATTATGGCAGCATTCGCTAAGTTAAACAAGGAGACTGCCCAGAAGAGTTGCAAGAGATTCCTAAGTCGTCTGGTTGAAGCCAATGTCGATTTTATTGAATTATTTTACTCTTTAGCATTCCAAGATATTTTTGAGTAATTTTGGTAAATATATCTGTTAAAATCAGAGGTTAGTGCTGCATTTTGATACTCAAAAGTAACTCACAATATTTTGGAGGTTCGAATGTTGAATTTACCAGGTGATCCCATAAGTTCTGTCCGAATTTTGAATAAAGAAAACAAGTGACCAAATGTTACATTTAATTACAGATTCAATCGACAATGTATTTTCCCTGATTATCTATGACTTCCTTCCATCTATTAACAAGCTTACTAATTTCATTACTGTAAAATTCTTTTGGCTTTGATTCGAAGAACTCACAAATGTCAGTTTTAACCTATTCCTGTGTTACAAAAGCTGTTTCTTCCAAATGATTCTGTAAGCTACGAAACAAATGGTAGTCTGAAGGAACAAGATCGGGAGAATAAGGTGGATGAGGAATTTTCTCCCAACCAAGTTCTTCGATCTTTTGTGACGTGATTCTTGCTGTGTGGGGTCGTGCATTGTCCTGATGAAGCATCACCCCTTTTCGATTCACTAGAGCAGGTCTTTTTTCCCTCAAATCTTGGTTCAAACGCTCTAATTGCTGACAGTATATTTGAGCATTAATTGTTACACTAGGTGGTAAGAATTCAAAGTGGATTATTCCTTGGCGATCCCACCAGATTGAACAATGAACCATTTCCCCATGATGTTACATTCTCGGCTGTGGCTGGAGTTCTTCCCCCTTACCAAGCCACTGTCTACGACAACATTTCGATAAAAGATCCATTTTTCGTCGCCAATCACAATCCAAAAAAGGTGAAACAAGTTGATGAGAATGGAGAGAAGAGCAGATGTCAACTCGGGATTTGAGGTTGTTTTCAGACAATTCATGAGGCACCCATTTTCCAAGTTTAGGAACTTTTCCAAGTTGTTGAAGATGACGATGAACAGTTGTATGGTTTGAACTGAGAACCACTGTCAATTCCTCAATTGATAAAGCAGGATTTTCTTCAAGGTCTGCTTCAAGAAGCTTTTCATCAAATTCAACCGTCCTGTTAGATCTTCATCTTCAAGGGTGAAATCTCCACCTCTGAATTTTGCAAACCATCTTCTGCAAGTTCTTTCATTCACACATTCCTCTCCATAAACTGAGTGAATGTTTCTAGCCGCTTCGGCTGCTGAGTTTCCTTTCTTGAACTCATAAAGCATTATGTGCCTCAAATGATTCTTTGGTTAGCAGGGTTTTAATCAAACAAAATTTAATTTTATTGTTTTCTGAAATAAAATTTGATCAGTTTAAATGCATCTAAATGTTCAGCTCCATTAGACATAAAATACTCTTTAAATTTCGTTCATTTTAACAAAAAGTTAAAATTCGGACAGAACATATGGGATGACCTGATAAATAAGCTATATATTTTTTTTCGTCTGAGATTCTATCCCAGCTGACCATTATCCTTTCTCGTTCAAAATTTAATTTTTGTTTAGACTTGAAAGTTACGATTCAAAATCTTGACAGTCAATTCCAATTTCTATATTCACCTGTCATCGCCCATGTTCTCATCTCATTTATTGTAAAATCCAAGTTTGACTACAGCTCTCGCTGATGACAGTCTAATAATCTGCAATAAAAGAAAATTTTGTTTGCATGAAGCTGATATATTTTTTGGAGAGAACTCCGGGACTTGGTTCTTTCATTCTATTGCAATCGTCAGATTTGTTCGTCTAAAACGACTTCAGAAAGAATTTCCTCGCCTACGATTTTATTGATCACCTTTCCTTTGATAGCTTGGCTTCGTGACACACTTTCGGAAATTTACTCTTTATTTCAAGATATTTTTGGTAAATATATCTATTAAAATGAGATGTCAGCGTTATTTTCATTTTTGCATCATTTAGACGACAATTTTTCCATCGCACCCTGTATATGTGTGTGTTTCTTTTTGTTTTCTCTTCAAGAAGAATAAGCACAAGTGTAAGTCATAGCAATACAAACCACGACCACAGCAAACGATTATCATTGCAACGTAGGGGCGAAATCTTCAGATGACTTATCTCCCTTCCTCAATATATTCAATAAATTCTCATACGTCAATAATGAGAGCGACACACGAATCGTTCTCTTCAACATACTCAGAATATTTTACAAGATTGATTTTTGAATTCTATCTTCCATACAAATTGTTATTCCTTGCATCTGAAACTCAGATTTGAAAAAAGTTAAAAGTAATAGATGAACCTTACAGCCAAGGAAGAAGGACAAAAGCATTGTTTGAAACGTTGTGGTAATAACAAGATGAGGAATACAAATCCGAATAATGTATTACCTTAAATTTGTACCCTTTTTAACAGATGATTTCCATACATTATTGTCATTATTTGGATTATTATCCTCATCTACATTGCCATATAACTGAGACATCCGGGAGAGGCATGGCACATGGAACTAGAAAAAATTTACTCCGGTGGACGAAATAAAGAGTTCGGTTCGAAATTCCAATCACCTGAAGAAAGCTGGAGCGTACAACGGCCGAAACGTTGTGAATATGCTAATGAGGATAACAGTCCGAATAATGTAAGTAATCATAATACCTCATCTCAGAGATATAGACAGAGATGATTTCCAATGGATAGAATAATATATCCACATGTCTTCAAGAGAGTTTTGTTTGCTTCACAAAAACTCAAGTTAAATATCTTAAAAGGAATAAAATTTAAAAAAATAAAACAAAGCAAATGGTTATGTGAAATTTCTAGAAGAACGTTCTGATTTTATTATCAGCACACTGAATTGAGACGCGAGAGAGAGAGAGAGAAAAAAAGAAAGAGAGAATGAGAGAGAGGAAAAGAGAGAGAGTGAGAGAGAGAGAGAGAGAGGGGTATGGAGAAATATAGAAAAATAAATTCTAGCAAACAACATTTAAACGAGTTATGGTTTGGTTTGGTTTGCTTTACGGCATATCAACCCCAATGGGTCATTTAATGTCAACAATATTTTTATTTGATTTTTGTTTGAAAATATTTCATTTGAAAATATTTTATTTTTATTTGAATTATTTGATTGGCTGTATATTCCAAGAAAGGATGGAGCCAGAGAGTTAATGATTGTTGAAAAAGTTGTGTCATTGGCTCTTCTGGTTTGATTTGGTTTGCTTTGTTTTGTTTTGTTTTACAGCATATCACCCTCAATGGGTCATTTAATGCCAACAAGATTTTTATTGCTGGTAATATCTTTTTACAAAAATGTATTGCTGGTAATAATTTTTTACAGACTATTTCTCGTATTAAAACCTACTTTTGCACTTTCATAGTGTTTTGACCCTAGTTTGGTGGTTAACTATTTGCCCACAGCTGGGAACTTGACAGGTGCTACCACCCCGGGCCATGGAGAGCCATGATTACCGAAGCCCTGAAAGGATACGACGTATAAAAGAAACGATGATAGTTGTTTACTCCGTTTGGATGTTGAATGCTGATTTTCAAGGCAGCTTCTGTGGGAAACTCTGCGCAACAGTAGATTATCACTATTCTCCCATTTTAATTTTATACAAAACGAAACTTAACAATAAATCGTTTCTCATCTGGGAAAATAGTTCCTTTAAAAAGAATTCTATCGAATAGAAAGATAAATGAAGATTTTCATTGTTACAGTGGATTAGAATCTCGGAATGGATGTCGGAAATTCAGTCCAGCTAGACAGAATTTAAAATAAATGTTTCTTAGTTTTTAGTAAATTCATTATTCTGTACTTTCAACTAGACTCAAATTTGCATCTCTTACCACGGGAGCTTGCTATGCTAGGTAGCTATGCATCAGCATCGAAGTCTTTATAAAAAGCGCTATTCTTTTTTGTCTACTCATTTTGCTATCATTTTTCGCTGACTCCCTACTACGCAGCATTTTGACGATTGAGTTAAAGTAGTAGTAGGAGGAGGAGAGGTCGGTTGGTTATTTTGTTTGGCGGCACGTCGACACCTATGTAGGTTATTAAATGCCGAAATCTAAATATTTTGTAAACAATTTTATTTTTGGAAATAATAATGGTTTTCGAAATAATAATGATGACGCAAGTCTTATTAATTAACCCAAATCTGAGATGGATTCATACATTTGCCAAATGAAGTCAACTGGAATTGGAACTCGGATCTCTGAATAACAATTCCGAGCCATTAGTTATTACGCCGACCACACATCCAAACTTACAGCACTTGGTATCCCCAAGGGGTCACCCATCTAGGTACTGACCAAGTTCGACGTTGCTTAATTAAGGTGATCTTACGGGAAGCGATGTTTCAAACGTGATGTAGCTGTAAGTTAGGTGGAGGCGGAATAGCAATTTTAGTAACACAAACCAGGACGCAACACGGCACACATCATAATTATGTGCAGGAAGGAAAGTGCTTCAGGCCCAAAGCAAAGAATATTTCTGTTAAGAAAACTAATTATAACGAGCAAAATTGAATTGATGTAAATAAGTAAAGGAATTTAGTGTAGGTTGGGTGCAGAAATTACAAGATACGTTGAAATATTTTCTTCTGAAAAAGAACTTTCTCCAATGCGTCAGCTAATCGCGTCATAACTTAATTTCACATATAAATTGGTTGGTTTGCTTTGTTTTACGGCAGATCAACCTCAATGGATTATTTAATGCTGATAAGATTTTTATTTCTAATATTTTTTCCAAAAATGTATCGCTGGTACTATTTTTTTTTCAAAAATGTATTGTTATTAATATCTTTTCCAAAAATGTATGGCTGGGAATAATTTTTCCTTAAAATTTTATTACTGGTATAAAAACTTATTTTTACACTTTCATGGTGTTTTAACCCCAGTTTGGGGGTTAACTATTTTCCCATAGTTGAGACCCTTACAGGTGCTACCACCCCGGATCAGGATGTACCTAGGAACACCAGCAACTAAGTGGTGGTTCCACGCTCCTCAATGTAGTTTAATGTCTTACCCAGGACGCGGATGTTGTTTATCGTCTTACCCAGGACGCGGATGTAGTTTATTAACTTACCCAGGAGGTGGATGTAGTTTATTGTCATACACATGGCACGGATGTAGTTTATCGTCATACCCAGGACGCGGGTGGAGTTTATCGTCATACTCAAGACGCGGGTGTAGTTTATTGTCTTACCCAGGACGCGGATGTTGTTTATCGTCTTACCCAGGACCCGGATATAGTTCATTATCTTACCCAGGAGGCGGATGTAGTTTATAATCATACACATGGCGCGGATGTAATTTATTGTCTTACTCAGGACGCGGATGTTGTTTATCGTCTTACCCAGGACGCGGGTGTAGTTTATTGTCTTACCCAGGACGCGGGTGTAGTTTATCGTCATACTCAAGACGCGGGTGTAGTTTATTGTCTTACCCAGGACGCGGGTGGAGTTTATCGTCTTACCCAGGACGCGGGTGTAGTTTTATCACCCAGGACGCGGATGTTGTTTATCGTCTTACCCAGGACCCGGATATAGTTCATTATCTTACCCAGGAGGCGGATGTAGTTTATAATCATACACATGGCGCGGATGTAATTTATTGTCTTACTCAGGACGCGGTTGGAGTTTATCGTCATACTCAAGATGCGGATGTAGTTTATTGTCTTACCCAAGACGCAGGTGTAGTTTATCATCATACTCAAGACGTGGATGTAGTTTATCGTCATACCCTGGACGTGGATATAGTTTATCGTCATACCCAGGACGCGGGTGTAGTTTTATCGTCTTACCCAGGACGCGGATGTAGTTTATTGTCTTACCCAGGACGCGGATGTAATTTATCGTCTTACCCAGGACGCGGGTGTAGATTTATCGTCTTACCCAGGACGCGGATGTTGTTTATCGTCTTACCCAGGACGCGGATGTAGTTTATTATCTTACCCAGGAGGCGGATGTAGTTTATAGTCATACACATGGCGCGGATGTAATTTATTGTCTTTCTCAGGACGCGGGCGGAGTTTATCGTCATACTTAAGACGCAGATGTAGTTTATTGTCTTACCCAGGACGCGGATGTAGTTTATCGTCATACCCAGCACCCGGATGTAGTTTATCGTCATACCCAGGACGCGGGTGTAGTTTTATCGTCTTACCCAGGAAGCGGATGTAGTTTATTGTCTTACCCATGACGCGGATGTTGTTTATCGTCTTACCCAGGACGCGGATGTAGTTTATTGTCTTACCCAGGACGCAGATGTAATTTATCGTCATACAGAGGACGCGGATGTTGTTTATCGTCATACCCAGGACGCGGATGTTGTTTATCGTCATACCCAGGACGCGGATGTTGTTTATCGTCTTACCTAGGACGCGGATGTAGTTTATTGTCTTACCTAGGACGCGGATGTAATTTATTGTCTTACCCAGGACGCGGGTGTAGTTTATCATCATACTCAAGACGCGGATGTAGTTTATCGTCATACCCAGGACGCGGATGTAATTTATCGTCCTACCCAAGATGCGGATGTAGTTTATTGTCTTACTCAGGACGGCATAAAACGTGTTTCGATGCATCGATATTGTTATAAGTCATACCCAGGAATTGTCTAAGCATTTACCTCAATGTTTATATTTTGGTGATTTAAGTCATAAATAAACATGCACATCTCCCCTCTGTCTTAATAACTCTCACATTTGGATGACGGTAAGTATTGTGTAGCTTAGCCCAGTATGGCACGTGATCATGAGAGTGAGACTCACTGCGTGGATAGAGCTCACTCAAAATCAGCAACGTTTATCACAACGTTTCGACCGTTGTATGATCCGGCCTTCTTCAGGTAGTTGGAATGACGAACTGAACCCTTTATTTCGCTCACTGGGGTAGACTAGTTCCACATCCTCAAGTGCAAATGGCACAGTGGATAAAAGCATTAGTTAGATCCAGTGACAGGACCCAAAGAATGTGAGTTCAATACTTGGTTTAGGCAGTGGAGAACTTTCAAAGAGGAATTATCAGGAGATAACTGACATCCATTAGACATGGCCCGTGGAACTAGAACAGTCTTCCCCAATGAGCGAAATAAAGGGTTCAGTTCGACATTCCAACCACCTGAAGAAGGCCGGAGCGTACAACGGCCGAGACGTTGTGATAAACATGGCGACAAAGATGAGGACAATAGTCCGAATAATATAAATAGTGTACATAATACCTCATCTCAGAAATATAGACAGATACAGAATGCACTGACTTCAAAGAAAATGATGTGTGAAAAGCTTAACTCACTTCTGGAGGACTTCCATCTTCTCCTTCAGCAACTTGGGGAATAAAATTACAATTTAAAACCTGCATGTAGCCTAAAATACTTAGAATGTAATCGCCTGTAAATCATTTTTTGAGATCTTTTATGGGAAAAGACATGGTTGAATTCTAAATGAATTCATTTTTTATTTCATTGATGAAAAAGAAACAATAAAATAAGAAAAGAGAAGGGAGGTAATTCTTATTTCTGGAGTAATTTATGTCTTACTTTCTTAGTTTAGAAAATCATCGAAAAGTCGGTGTTAACAGTTTTTGTCAGATAAAATCGTTTGATTATTGTTTCCCACTGAGATTAGACATTTAAACAGAGTAGATAAAATGTTTTTCAGCGACTTTTTGTGATTTTTATGCATTATGATTTTTTTCCTTTTTTTTACCTATGGTAATGACGTCAAACGATGACGTCTTTGTGTTTCCGAATAGCAATTTGAAGGTTGCGATAAAAAAACAACTGCAATTAAGATGTAACACATACTTTCTCTAAGGTTTGGAAATTATTACAAATGGCGGATTTATTTAATACTTTTTATTCAATCTCCTACTGTTTGTCTTCAATATTTTCTAAAATTCAAATCTCTTATCGAAAATGATAGTTGCAAAATGGCTTGATCTAAACACGGTAAGAACAAAGCCACTTCAAAATGAGTGGATATGCAATTTTTATTGATTTTTATGATTGCCTGTTAATAGCCTTTTGTAGAACTAGCCATTCTTCTTGCTCTCCCAAAGTTGGGGGGGGGATATGCGAGTGGCGTAATGGATAGCGACTCGGAATGAGTTCGAATTCTAGTCGAGTTCCTTACATTCACTTATGTGCAAAAATGCCATTGTGAAAGGTATGAATCTATCGCTTCTCCCCCCAGTTATGGGTTAAATAACTTACAAAGGGTTAATAAACCGTAAAAAAAACAAGTCAATCACTCAACAATTCCCACAGTTATCCTTTCCGTTTCAATGTCTTTCTCAAAAGCAAAAAATGTAAACTAGTAATATTCAAGAAATAATTTTTTTAATTTATTTCTTGACTATTACTCGCTTACTTTTGCCTTAGCAGACTTTGAATTATGGCACTTTGTGTCTTCCATATGTTTTGACTAACCTTTCAACCACCTGATGAATATTCATGAATGTACTCAAATTTAAAAGCCTTGATGATGCAATGATTGCCTTGCTCTTGTATAAAAGTAGTCCCAACAAAATAAATCGTACACTGATGAAGTCCCACAGAGGACGAAACGCGTCGGCTAACAATAGGCTTTCCTCTTGTCTTTTTATTCATTTTGTTCCTTTAAACACACACACACACACACAAACAAACACACACACACACACATATATATATATATATATATATATATATATATATAAACCTAATGAGCCAGAACCTACCTACCTAGGTTTCACCTAACGGATCATCAGGACAACCCTGGCTGAAGAGAGTTGGCTGAAATATTTTATTGAAGGAAAAAAAAAAACCAAAACAAAAAACAAACAAACAAACAAAAGAACGGACACCAGGAAGAATAAAAAAAAATAGCATAAAACCAAAAACAAGAACAAAGGAGGGTAGACCAAAAAATAATTGGGTGGAAAAACGGCCACCGGAAAAAAAAAAAAAAAACTTCCCATTAATCAGGCTTTTTATGTCTACAACGATTAAGCCTTTCCGATCTCTGGTTGAGTTAACATATTACGGTTATTACAAGAAGCTATGTCTAATTTTTTCCTTCATACACAGGAGGCAACACCTCTCGCCAGTCTGTGGCATTTTCTTATTATCTCCTATTTTTATATATGATCTACGCCTTGCTCCTTTTTAATTTTCCACACATGGTTAGATAGACTAGTCCTATTCGTGTATATCTCATATGCGACACTACTTCTATGGTTATAATATCGTTTTTTAACTTAAGTTACTCCGTCGGTGTTTTTCTTGGTTAGAAATTGCGGTGTTGATTGATTATTTTCAAGTGGCACGGATGTTTTTAGTCTTTTCTTTTTTTTATTGATTTGTTTCCCTGATATCAGTTTGTTTAATATTTTTAT